CGAAAGGTGCTGTAAAAATAAGGTGTATAGCATTATTATTATGAGCACAATGATGCAGTGCTGCAACTCAATATTCAGGGTTTGTGCTCTGCCAAAGGGTTTATCTCCAGCTCTTAGTCTGTGCTTGTCATATTTGTGCTGGTCATACTTTGAGTGGTCGGAAGACTAGAAAAGCACTTTACAAGTACAGTCCATTTACCCTGTACCATTAAACCCCAAGGTGGACCAAGGAGTCCTGTATTCATTACATCAGCATGTTTTCTTCAACGTTCTGTATGAATTCCAAAGATACAATAATTACAAACAGTCAGTAGTCAATAGTTTGTTTAATGTCCAGCTGATCCAACACACACTCAGCAACCTGCTTCTGAATCTCTTCTTTTGGTGTTTGATCAGTTCGTCTGATCAAACCCCCGTGAGTGAACAGAGGGATGCAGGCTTTCTGCAACAGACTCATTTGTGTGCCTGCAGTCAGTCAGACTGAGAAATGTCATCTTTACTTCTGGCGTAATCACTATTCATTCTAAAGTCCGTGTGTGTCTGGGGACAATTCAAATGCTGGCAGAGCTGAAAACATCACGGAAATACCTGAAGTAAGACCTGGAGTCCCAACTACTGAGAGCAGCAGTGGGAACGCTTTGGAATAATGGGTTAAGTGATGATAACTGATGCCTGAGTCCTAATGATTCAATGCATGGATCAAGAGTCGACCAGCAGGGTGTGGCTACCTTGTGATTGACAGGTCGCCACCACGGAGTTGGGAGTTGTCAGTAGGCTGTCAGATGATGAGTTGAAAGGTATTTTAATGAGAATAGTAAATATATTTATCATTTTCATACGTAGAACTTGAATTGTTTGGGATATAAGTCAGTAAGTAAGTTGTTGTACAGTCCTTATGCCATTAAAGGGTCAGCCATAGACCTCAGTCCCAAAGGTGATCCTCAAGATGGATCTCCAAGTGAGTCCAGGCTGATTCCTAACACCATCCACCTCCCATTAGAGGCTACAGCGGCTGTTATCTTGTTTGTCAGCTCACTCCGGAGGACGGCGTGAATTCTACTGATCACTCATTTTCTCATTTCGGAGTATTAATTCAAACCTGCAGCTACAGTAGACGGGGCTGAAGTGAATGAATTTCATACAACTATTGAATGCTGGTAAAATAAAAGATGACAATATTCAGGGAGGGGGACTAATGCGTTACATAACATACACTGTTTTATGCAAGCTGCTGTTCAAATGGCGCTCTGGAACAAAATTTCAACCAAACTAATTGAGTGTCAGTGCGATCGTTATGTAACCATGTTTTGGGAGTCTGACTATAGTCATATTTCTCTTCCCTGACTTTGACTTTGAGGAAAAGACAGATGTGGAAATGACACCACCCTGCAGGTTTAGGTTTTAGATACTCATAGACAGGTTCATCACTGACATGTGAAAATGTAGATGCTATCTATATTTTAAGATGTTAACTCATCCCCAATCACTGCTCTTAACAGTCCATTGAATATCACCTGAAATACTTAAGAAATAGCGTATATTACGTGCAGTATGTGTGTTTTCCACTCGTTAAAACCTGTGTGTCGGCGTCCTCAGTGTTAACACACTGATCAGCAGAAAGGCTGCAAATGAGGAAAACAACCTGTCCGTCTGAAGTGCGTGGGTGCCGCTAAGGACTTCGGTCAATATGCTATTTTTGGTAACACAACGTACCCGGCTTGATCAGAGGGTGGCACTGCAGTTTGAAAAGGAGCATCATAAAAAGGATACAGCACAGGCCTAATGTGTTGCATAATAATAGTGTCTATCAAGCTTTGATACACATTTTAAAATAATTGAAGTCTAAAAACTATTACTTTAAAATCATTTTTCATCAAAAAATCATTTATACATGCAGAACGCCTCAAAAACAACCAAATAATGAACCAATTCTTATTTAAAATGTTACTTTATCAGCCAAATGTACTTCATGTATCAATAGTGAAGGTACTCATAGTGCAGAATGGCCCCTTTCAGTGTTACAGTATTTTGTTATAATTTTTCTATATTTTTAAATTACTGATGCACACATTTGTTTGTTGTTGTTGACATAATTCTAATTACTGTTGGACAATTGAATCTGTTACAATGCACCCTATTTTATAAACAGATCATGTACTTTTACTAAAATCTTTATCTGCAAAATAAGTAATAACCAGAGCGTCGAGCTAATTGTAGCAGGATAGAAAGTGCTATATTTCCCTCTGAAATGTAGAAGTCTAAAGTAGCATTCAATTGACATACTCAAGTTAGTTTCTGAAAATTGTACCTAAATACAGTATTAATGTAGAAAAAGAAGGCTCACTTGTGTTTATTTTATGGAGCTACAGGTCAGCACTGATTGGTGGAGAGTTGACTCTTGTTTGAGTGTCCTCCACCCCTGATGTAGAAAAGAGTAGAAGAGAATAGAAACCCTTTGATGCTGCTGTTTATTATTATTATGTATATGTGCATACTACAATTATGGATACTGTATATGCATTCTGTGTATTCTATTTCATCATAGTCTTTATCTTATGTTTTTATCTTACTTTATCAAGTGTGTTGTTTTCGTCCTATTTTCCATCAATTATGCCATTCTATTCTTGTTTTTATGTCCATTCTATTTTCCCTTATTGTAAAGCACTTTGTGCTGCATGTCTTGTATGGAAGAGGCTGTACAAATAACTTCATATGAATGAAGTTTCTTTAGTCGTCACAGTATTTGTGTTACCTGTACACACACCCTCTTCCTCCTCTCTTTGTGATTCGCCTGAAGCCTCACTGATATTGACATTGTGTGTCCTTTGAGATTCCTCCTGAGCTGTCAGGACCGGCTCATGTCCCTGCGACTGGGGGGAGAGGAGGCTCCGACATCAGCTGAATCCTTCTCTTCTCTGCCTTCCTCTGGGCCCTTCCACTGGAACTGAATCCTTGTAGTGAATGTCCCTTCTCTCTCTCTCTCTCTCTCTCTCTCTCTCTCTCTCTCTCTCTCTCTTTTTTTAGAGAAGAAAGGCAGTATGGACACCACATATTTGTGAAACAGATGGTGTCGGGTGTCTTAATATACGCCAGACTAGCTGTCAGTCCATTCAGTGTTTGTGACAGACACCTGACTGTGAGGCCTTATGGCACTGCTTCACAAATGAAGCTTAGTCTCAAACTCGTCCGAGCCTCTGGGAATAACTGTTAGAGACAATCACCATGACGAGCCTGCATGCTTGTCATCCAGCCCTCGGTGAACAGTTAAAGCCACCTATACAGATGTACATGCTGCGCTTGTTCATCACGTCTTACTGTTGTTTCTTTTTGAAAGACATTCAATTCATTTTTACCTAAAAGATATCTGCTGTTTGTCTGTGAAGCTCCAGAGACATCCAAATACAAATAGGATCCTTCTTATCTACAGCAGCCCAAATACTGCAATCTGTTTTCAATGATTTCTCTTTATAAAAACAACACTGACATGTCAGCACATAAAGTCGATATGGGGAACATGTTAGCATAAGGTTTCCTATTTACACAGCAGATGTGGAGAACATTATCTTTTGTTCTTCTTCTCACCTGATGAATATAAGTCCAATATTCACTCTGAAGGGGAGACCTTACAGGTGAACAGAGTAAACATTTGAACTAATAGATATCACCATGACATGTTTACTTACATTCAGACAGTTATTTTCTGTTTAATATGTAAATGAGGCGTTATCTAAGGTAACATGTGGTGATTTTAGGAGAAATCCACAGACACAAACAGACAAAGTAGTCAAATAAACACCTAAATGTTTATCTTGAATGTTTTCACTAGTCTGAAAGAAGACCAACATCTCTAAAAAGACATGAATGTGCATGAATGTCTTTGCCTGAGGACTCACAGTCCTGTGTTACCGTTGCAGAAGGACAAGCTGATTCAAATCCCTCTTTATCTACTTTGGTTTGAGATCCTGTCAACAGATGCAGAACTCTCTGTGTTTGTTGTGAGTAGGATGGCAGCTGAACTCTTGATTTGGAATTCTGAATTTCCACATTAAAAACAAATTGAATTCTCTTTGCAGTCAAGGGTCTACCATATCTCTGGTTCAGATGTTTCTGACGGGCGGATAAGGAGTCCAGTAGAGACCAGCACACACAGCTGATGCTTCTGCACAGTGCTGCAGTTGTGTGTCACAGGGATCTAGTTCACAGCAGGGTTGTGAACCAGCTCATGAATCCAGGGATTGAGGCTGCTTCCAGGGATCGGATTTTGCTTTAACATTCAATGTTGGCACTTGTAACTGGAGGAGGACTCTAACCTTGTGGCTTGTAGCTGGAATCTTGCCTCGGCCCAGTGACAGCGGTTGGTGGACACAATATCAAGGAACCTGTGCAGTCCAATATAACAGCCCTGCAGTGGATCTGTTGTGAAACTTTAATGTTCAGTTTCGATGACGCTGTGTCAGAGAGCGGTTTGAGACCAGAGCTTATGATGTTTTCCTGGAATTGATTTTATTTGAGTGTCCTTGATATTTTACCAAAATGAAAAAAGCTTTTGTTGCAGACTACTGCACGTGTTGTTAACATCGTGCCTCTCGTCATACAGTGACACATCTTTGTATTCCTCTATTTGTAATCTAGCTATTCAGATATCAATACTAAAAACCTGGTGACTACATTCAATAAGTCACTTGTTCTTCTTTTGAAGCACCAAGAGAGTGAAAGCAGATCAAGGTGTGCATGCCTCGCTCTGAAACGTTAATGCTTGTTTCACTGCAGCCATAAGGTGGCACTATTCTTCCAGTCTACAGTCAGAAACAATCACAGCTGTGGGTCTGCACATCTGCAATATCTTAGCAAAGTGAGAGCAGGGAGTGTGTTTCTTTTAGCCTCTGTTTGAGCTTGCAGAGACCACTCTGAAGACCGTCCGTTACATTGTGACAGACTAACAGGTGACCTCACTAACCTGTTGAGATGGTCCTCGGCCCATTCAAGTGATGCAAGAGTAAACGACTTCAACGTTTTAATGAAATAAAAGTTTACAGTCCAAAGCAGTTCCATTGTGATCAACATTTGTCTGAGTCTATGTACTGGTTGCATTGAGAGTCCTTGCGGCCACACGCAGCAGCTTGGAGGCGTTTGTCCACCATGATGGCAAACCTGTAGCAGCCAGAGAGAAACTCAATGTAATCTGGCTCATTCTAATGCTCATCTGTGTTAGTAGGACCTTTTTATGAACATGGGTGCATGTTAAAAACACAATATATGTACTAACGTGAAAATATAAAGAGCCACAGAAAGCCCCTTTCAAACGAATGAGTCCGTCCAGGATTTACCCACTCGTGTTTGTGCAGTCAGGCACTTCGCCAGATAATCCCAACCAGAGGCCAACAAATCCTGTCAAATCCTGTCTGAGTATTCGTCGCATGTGCAGCTCTCACAGAGGCAGTCCCGGCCCCCGAGGCCTCCGGCTCTGTTCGCCATTGGATTTCACGATGGATTGTCATGTGTCCTCCAGTGACCTCCAGTGTGTTTCCATGACTCTACAGCCGTTCACGTTACGTCTGGCTTATTAAAGAGTCAGGTGGTCCACTTATCAGCCAGCGTGTGTCCGTTCCCCACGGAGCACCCAAGGAAGAACTTTTCTCTCGCTAAACCCCAGCTGGACCAGTCATTTAAAGGACTAAGAGCATGACCTTGTCAGATCATCATCTGGGAAGGTACTCCTCTGGAAGTCCGCTAAAGTTCCTCCTCTGCAGTGCCTGGTCGACAGAATGAATAAAGGGGTCGATCATCCGTCTCATGTTGGGAGTGAACGGGTCAAAGGAGGGCCCCGAGGCCCCCGAGCGTTTGAAATGACCGTCCTGGTTGCTCTGGGCACAAATCAGCCTCTCCTCCGTCATGGTGGCGTTCAGGAAGGCTGTGATGACACGGAGCTGAGGGAGAAGGGCCGTCTGCAGATCCTCGTAATGGACCACCAGCAGGCGCTGTCCGAACTTCAGCCAGCTGAGAGCGTGGGACGCCCACCAGGGGGCGTAGCTGGAGACAAATTCTGGCCATTCTGCAGGTGAAAGACAGCACAGTTGGGGACATTAAGCCTCATTTCCACTGGCGGTTCGGCTTGACTCAACTGTTGCCCTATTTTATGTTTTGATGTCTTAATTACTTATTAATTATTTTGACTTGCATGCTCTTTTTTTGGTAGCCTGGGAACTAAGAATCACGGTGGTTGCGGTGCATGTGAAAGTAAAGAGCCGGACAGCATTACCGTTGCTTTTCCACTGTGCGTCTGTGGCATGTCCTAAATGTCCAGCGCACTTGCGGTTGAACTCAGCCACGAGGGAGCGGTACGGGTTTCGAATCAACAGGATGGCAGAATCGAACATCTCAATCTCCTTCTGACCGCTCTCGTGGGTCTTCACGCAGATGCTGCGGCCGCTCTTCCAGTAGTCCTTCTCCCCTTTAAAACCTGGTGCAAATGAATAAAATAATGGATAATGGTCAGCTGCGAGGGCAGTATGTCCCCGAGCGCTCACTCAAACTCTCCTTTGTCCTCCCCCACCTCTGTTGTAGAGCGTGCCGTCGAAATAGAAGCTGCCAGTGTAGTAGCCAGTCACAAGCTCGATCAGGTGTCGCACCCAGGTGTTGCCCGCACCAGGAAAACTAGAAAGGGCCACCAGGGAGCTGGATCTCTGCGGCAGAAACATCCTCTCTTTGCACATGGAGTCTGGAAAGAGAGGTCGTTATCGCTTTTAGTTACAAAACAAAGCAGAGATGCACCCGATCACAATTCAGTGGAAAGCTCTTCTAGTGATCACATTTCTTTGTCTTTATTTGTCAAGCATATTACCATCTAATTGACATTTGTATATGTATTGTATATTACATGAATATAAAGTACTGTAACAGACAAATTCGCTATTAACTGAATTTTATTTCTCATGTCAAAACACAGTACAGCTGTTTAAAACACAGTACAGCTGTTTTGAGGGTGGCTTCAGCCACAGCTGCTTTTTGTTCTCTCTCCGTCACTAGCAGCCATGACTGTTTCTCCTCGTCGGAGTAGACTCCACAATGCAGCCCCGAGGAACAGTTTACCTGCTGCATCTTGATGGCTCGTTTTTGTCATGAGCTCACGAGGACGCTACGTTTTTCAATGTAGTTTTAAAATGTAGTTTTAAAATGTTTTGGATGATAAGACCCAAAATAAACACTTCAAGCGGACTACTGGATAGCTGGAAGCAAATTATGTAAAGGTGCAATATAAAGGGGATTTAGAGCATTAATATAGCATCACACAACGGTTATCTATGTAAAGATATAGTGGGGTATTGTCTGCCTGAGCAGTGAATGAAGTCTCTCCCTCTCCGTGTGTTGTAATCAGAGCTTCTCCTTGTTTTGTTCACATAGCCAGGTCGTGCTATTAGTGAATGTTAGTGCATGTGAGGGAGAATGTGCATGTGAGCGTGCCCCACAGGTTAGCCGTCGGCCGCTATTCTGCACTGCTTTCATACAGAGTTTACAGCTGATAACGTCGTCGTAGGAGCGTAGCACCCACCCTCTGGTTCCCCCTCAGGAAAACCCTGTTAGCTCAGTCAGCATTGTTGCTGTAGTTTGCACTGTTAGCACCGTTAGCTGCGAGCCGTCTGCTCAGCGACGTTAACAGGCAAAAGAAATACTCCAATCTCGTATTTAGCTAAACAGCTTCTGTATAGAAATGCTTCTGTCCCAAGATTTTTAATAAGCGGTTGATCACTGTGACTGTGATTTCAATAAGTGCAGATGATTGTTATCTCACCAAGCACAGGTGTGTGATACACCTGGTAGTGGGCATGCTCAGTGGGCACCGTGGCTGTGGAGTTGGCGGTGTGATTCAGCCCAGTGTCCTCCACACACTGCTGCTTGTCAGACTGCTGGTTGAGACTGAAAAGAGACGACGTCCACGTACAGAAACAGTGGGGCTTCTTGAACACAGCCAACGGGAGCTCCTGCAAACCAAAAGCACAAATGTTCTCCGTGTCTTCCTATGACTCATCACAGTTACTTTTCTTTCCAAAGACGTGTGTTCTGTCCGTGGGTCACCTGTCAGCTCAGTTCAGTGGGAGAGTGGGCATCACTCCATGCCTCATTATTTTTTCTCACTTTTCCAGGTGAGCAAATGCTCAGTGTCAAAGTACAAGGACCGACGCCAGTAAACATTTTAGAAGAGTTGTGCATAATCACATGCACACACACACCACTGTGAGAATTAATCACAATGCAATCATCACCTGATGGTGCAATATTTCTACCAGCCAATTCTGTTATTCTGTTTTTCGGCGGAGACGCAGCTGCATCCAGTAAGATGTCAGTGCAGAATCCAGACTATCTGCTTCTCATTAGAGGCACATTAAACCTTTAATATTCAGCAAAATCCAAGGAGCTCTGCGCTCATGTGCCCTCCTGGGAGGGGAGACAGCTCTCTGAGCTACGGAGTCTCATCTCCTGGAAGAAACAGAAAGCTACTTGCAATAAGTTGATCATCAGGTCCATCATTTCAGAGGCCTAATTCCAACCTTGTCTGTGCAGGTCTCGATGCAGGACTGCGTGGTTAGGTTGGGCTGAAAGGAGTCGATGGGGAAGGTGCCAATGGTGCTCTTCGTCAACTTGAAGCAACCGCGGTAGTGAACATTTCTGACTGGAAGTAGACAGACACACAAGACAATAGTTGCACACTAGTGGAAGGTGAACAAGAATGGATTTGACAGGATTCAGCTGCATAAACCAGCACTTAGAATTTAAATAATGTATTCACTGATGAGCGCAAATAGAGGGTTTACTTAGAAATGAATTGTCAGATTTTTAAAAATAGAGTTACATCGACATCAGGGTTGAATTTAAATGCTCCGTCTCAAAGTGTTTCTGCCCTAATAATTACATTCCTATACTTAACTGTATTCTGGTGTATAATACATTCACAATTCAGCTGCAAATCTCCAGAGACACCCAGCCCACTAACCATGAATATTAATACTGGATATGGTATAAACTCCTTATATAATATATTTGACCTTGCCAACATCAATAATGTGGCGCATACTCTATCTTAAAAATACAGAAAACCGTTCTTGTAAGAGAAATGTTCATGTTTAATCAGTACTGATGAATTGGTTACATTATTATGTTTTTGATTATTAAGGCACATACAAAGTTCTAACAGCGGAGTCACATACATGTTGCTGTTTTCAATGAAATGCACAGTAGCTGAAATCATGGTGCACCAAGAGCTATGTGTGTCATGCTCCCTGCAAACAAGGTGTATTCTGTGATACACAGTCTATAAACTCCACAGTCCAATCAATCAAGTGTTAGGTTGCACATTACTCTCACTTTGCCCAAACTATTTTACATTCTGAGCATTTTTGCCACTAAAAAGAAGAAGTAATGAAGGGAAATCCAACAAGCTCGAGACATCAGAGATGACAAAGACATCAAGCATAGGGCTGGTCATGTTCTATATGTCTGTGTACTCTACGGAATTCATTTTGAACACAAAGACTTTGAATTTGTTTTTTCTCACAATAATGTCTTTAGATTTTACGAAAGGCTCTGTACATTTGCTAAAGCAGCTGGGCTCTGTATTTTTAAGCAAACTGGTCTCAAATATAGGAATAAGTAGTCCATTTGTTGGGGACTATTTTCAGCCTTGGATTAATACACATTTAGTGCTCTAGTGCAGTGGGTGCTGCAACACCCCGGGGTGTTTCGAGGACAGACCAAGGGTATTGCAATGTACGGTCTATGTCTATACATCACTAAGACTGGTTGATGGTAGCTATCCGGGACATGAGAGCTGTCCAGGTGCACATCAGACAGATATAATGAGTGTCAGAGCAGCGACGGAGAGATTAATCTTTTACTCAGCCTGCATCACAGTCTGAGACGACCAAAAGAAGTCAAATTAGACTGTACGGTGAAAACCACTTGGCTCACATTGAGGGGAAGTTAGCTGTCATCTGAAAATCTGCCTAGCAACACAGCCTAAAACTAAGAGATTTCAGAATAGGCCCATATTATTGCAGCCACTTACTTCAGTTCATATTTATCCCATAATTTACATCAAGCTGAATGTATGTGTTGTGTGTTAAGTGGCTTTCTATTTTTTAAATGTTCTTCTCTATCGGGGTTGCCACAGTGAAAGGAAAAACTAGATCATGACCAAATAAAGCAAAAAAGTGCTGTACAGAATATACAAATTTATAATAAAACAAGTTGAAACACAATAAAAACAATCCCTATAAAAGCATGTCGTGGTTTAAAAATGTTGTGTAACTAGTGAGTATTTCTGGATGGTGTATGTGTGACTCACTGGTGTGTTTTTTAATAGTTTTTGGACAACAGTGGAGCTCAGAGGAATGTGTAAGGTCTTGGTTACACAGGCGGTATTTGTTGGAAGGATTAATTCAACAATTGCTTCAGGTCTGGTTTTGGCCAGACCTGAAGCCGCTTCACACCAAGCACAGACGCCTAACATTGTAGGACAAACACTGCGACGACCACTTCAACAACCAAATAAAGGATAGATGTAGTATTAATATATGGCTTGAGATTGCCCATACCATATACGTTGGTCACGGTTTGGGGCTAGCCACAACAGCTAGCATTAGCATCAAATTTGGGGTCCGATTACTTTATGTATTGTGTAGGTAACGTTAGCACCTGAGACATTCTCTGTCTTGATGGGTTTTTGTTGTGTGGAGTGAACAATATTAGTTACTGCTAACAGCTGGTTAGCTTAGCCCAAGGACTGGAAACAGCTAGCCTGGCTCTCTTTGAAGGTATATTAAACTGTTTTTATATTTTAAAACAATAAAAAAAGCATGCAGATTTTCTATATACCCTGCAACGCATTTTCGCTTTGCACTTGTGAGAAACAGCTTTTATCCCTGCACTACATACATATATGTGCGAGCAGCGCACCGTTTCTTTGACTGACGCAGCATTCTGTTGACAGAGTTTATTTCATTTTGAGAATTTAAGTTTTCTCACTCGTCTGCACCAACACAGCAGCTCATGTAGAGAATAAATAGCAAACAGCACCGCATCTTCTCTGAGGGAAGTGAACTCACATTTTCTGTGACCTGGCAGCTGCTCCTCCACTTTGTAAATGGAGAGTCGGCCCACGCCTCCGCAGGGAGACCCCCTCTCACCCCGACACACCAGGCCGCAGTCCTCCTCGGGGGCCCGTGTGCTACTGATCCGGTTCCCGCAGTGGCATTCGGCTCCAAACTCCAGACCTGCAAACTGGTACCCGCTATAAACACACACACACACACACACACACAGATAAAAACACAGTTAATGCCCTAGCCAGGGGCAATGCATCACCTCAAGCTCTTGCCCTCAGGCTAAGCCATTCCACAGGACATTAGTTAACATTTCCAACTCATCATTTAACTCAGAGTTCTCAGCATTAAATCTACAGCGTGGCCCGTTCCCGGTAATGTTCGTCAGTGCTTCTCTCTCTGCACTCATCTGACTGTGCGATGCCTTTTTTTTCCAAAACTGAACTGCGGTCACCTCTGATCTGTACTTTACATATCAAGGCTGTTGTGACTCATCCTCTCTTTTTATCCTCCCTCCTTGGGAAAGACAGAGTTGACCTTTTCATATATGTCCTTTTGAAGCTTCCTTATAAATTGCCTTGACTTTTTACTTTTTACTCATTGCGGTAATTGGCCCACTAAGGTAACGAGCACGACTGCTTTCCATGCAGACAGGGGATTGTGGAGGAGGGCGGGGGGTTAGTGGGGCCGTCTGACTGCATCCATCTGTCCCCTGCTGTTCTGTTTCAGCGGGGCTACGCTGCTTCCTCACTGCTATGACATTTAGAGGAATAATTCGTTGAGTTTGCCACGAAAAACCCAACTGCCTCACCCTGTTTCCTTGCAGCTTTGGACGGTCGTTACAACGCTGCGAACTCTGCTCACAGCGAACCAATCGAGGGAGATTCACAGTACGGCCACAGCAAAGCACATATCTAACCTCTGATTTATTCACTAACCGCTGTAGTCAGCTCATTCAGCTTCTAACACACACACACACACACACACACACACACACACACCTCCTTCCTTCTGCAATAGATCAAGCCTTCTGTCCTGGCCTGCTCTTCACTCCCCCCCCCCCCCTAATCTTTTACTGTCATCCAGCCACCTGGCTCTCCACTGGCTCCAAACACAGGAGGCATTCATGGAGGAGACTGAGATCCAAAGCGTTTACTCAAACAGCAGGCCCTCTGTGGCCCCTTCACGGCAGCCCGCCACGAACACATTACCTTTCTGAGCAGGTGTCTTGACACAGAGAACTGGTCATTTTGCGCAGGTCATAAAGCATGGTTCCTCCCAGCGCACGAGCAGTGGCATTGTGCAGAAAGCAGCCCATGTAGGTCCCTGCATGTGAGAGAAAAGCATTGAGTGAAAAACATCCCTGTAAAGGAGCTCAGCAAGTTGCAATAGATAAGTGTCAATTTGAAAAGTGTGCTTGAGATTACAACAACAATTTGTCAACAAAACAAATGTATTAGATATTCAGTTAATCCTTTAGATAATTTGTCAAGACAAAATATGAAACATTCTTTGTTTCATAAGCATAAGGAGCTGCTTCTTTTCCTTCGTTTTATTTGAATGTTACTTGAACACCGTTGGGGTTTTGGCATCGTTAGTCGGACATAATAAAGCAGTTTGAAGGTGTCACCTTGGGCTCTGGGAAATAGCAATGGGACGTTTTATTGACTAAATGATCCATCAATCAAACTAATTGACAATTTCACTGAACACGAAAACAATGAGCAGTTGCAGCCCTAACACAACATGTATTACATCAAATATGAAGTCAGTTCTCAGGTTTATTCTTAGACTCTGAGCACGTTTACCAAAAAGAAAAGAAAGAATTTGAATGAATTCCGATAATTCGGCTGTGCCGTGCCATGGCACCAAATTCCCCCCTTCTTACCCCCCCTGCTTTCGGCCACCTTGCTGGCACCTCACCCATCTTCCAACACGGCCTTCATTTTGACTCAGAATTACAGGGTGAAAACACCAGCGTTGCTGTCGCGGCTGGAGATATTTCTAAATGCACTTTGTTCCATGTGATACGTTTTACTGATGCACATGAGCACAATGCGCGCATCCACAATTAGCCGTAATTTAGATGTAAACCAGACTTCCTCTGTCTTAACTCTGGCACTGGCAGCATCCTCAAACGGTGCCAGTGCATCATCACTTACTCACAGTTATTGTGAGCCATGATATTCAACTAATTCATAACATGACGAGACCCTAATTTACCATCCAATATAGATGATTCTCATTCCTACGTTACAGGGAACCTATTGACTTGCACTCGAATAACAACCACTCCTGTAGAAAGGAGGATGTAACGCATAATCGGCTCTGACAGACTATTATGATGTGCTGACAAGATTAAGGCTCCATATAAACCGTCAACCAAATTCAGCCTTTGATGTTATCCTTGTCTTTGCCACATTGCTACATCAAAATCAGCTCAGCTGACACATAAAAGTCTTCTTTTGAAATACCAGTGTCTGTGTGGAGGGCAGCATATGCATTTCTTTTGTGTGCAGACTTCATTTACATCTCGCCCCTTGGGTCTGAGACGGTTATATTTTTAGGTTATATACTAGATGTTCTTACTCACTCGAGAAGTGTATGTTGCGAACAATAGAGTCTGGTTTTGGTGAGTGCATAATTCCCCCAATGTTGGCCTTTTGGTTTATTTCACAGGCTTTGTGAATTTGTATTGATGGATGTTTTAAAGGTTTCAAGGACTCCGAGGATTCAGCTTTTTTATGTTTACTACCCACATAAAAATAAACTGATGCCAACTGGCCAAAGAGGATTTAAAAAGAAGTGCTGGGAGGACTGTAGAGAAGTGGAAGCAAGGTGCACGGACGAGATGGACGCAAGCGACGGACCGTGAAATCTCCTGGCAGCCCGAGCATCGCTATATCGAATTTGTGATTCAATCAGTCTGCGATGTCCTCTGAAGCCCGTCCAGCGCATTGTGCTGGGCGAGGCTGAGCCGCCAGCCGCCTCGGGAGACAACCACTAGAGAACTCCAGCGGCTGCTCCCTGAAAGCACTAAGAGACCGGGGCTCTGCCAAAGTCTGTGGCAGGGAGCATCTCAAGAGGCATCACCTAAGGTGAGCCCCCCCCCCCCCAGCCCCTCATCCATGCAGCGGGGGCAGGTCATTGCTTTAATCAAAGTGAAGGAGATGCCTCAAGCAGCTGCGGCTGACAGTTAATGGAGGGAAGCAGGCCCCAGATCCCATACATGATAGAAATGACTGCACTTAGGCCTGACACTGTGTTGCTTTCTTAAACACTGAGACAGAATGCCGTGCTGGAGCCGAGTCCTCCCCACAGGATTGGATGGAGACTAATGACGAGGATGGCCGAATACGAGGACATGGGACATGTGCACTGTGTGTGTCCTTTTAGAGTGGGCTGAGGAGGGTTCACTGTCTCACTGGGTCTATAGTATCCTTGCAGAGGAGAGCCATACAAACTGCAGCTGAGGGGTCTCAACACGTGGTAGGCTGGTCTGACCCCCGGTCTGGGTCAGATCATCTCTGCAGGGTTCCTGATATTGAACAACCTGAAATACCCAGTGACTGTGACTAAATCCGTCAGAAGATGTACAAGGGTTTGGTTTGTGGGACAGATACAATGAAATGATGATGATAATAATAATATAAAGCATATAAAGACTCAATCTATCCATAAAAGTCTAATGGGCAAAGATAATAAGAATAGAGTTAAATATAAAGATTTATAAAGGATAACATTTCAAAGACACTATAAATATCTGTAATAGAAGTATTAAAATGTTAAAGTGCATAGCTTTCCTGTAGGGATGATGTAAACAGTACATTTGTCACTTAAAAATATATTCAACAAACTATGATAAAACAGTTTATTGTTCTTTCCATAAAAAAAAGGTTGTATAACAAAGAAAGCAGAGATGTTATGTGAACCTTTAAACCACGAGTCACTAATAGGCGGACCGCGGTACGGGTCCGGACCCATACACCGCTGTATCTGGACCCTGGACCTAAAACCGCTAGATCATTTTGAATTATTACATTTTCACAGAGCGCTTCTATTTCAACCGGCGCAGCCTTTCCAGCCTTTACGGCTCGTTCAGCGGTCCAGGAAACACACCGACCAATTACATGCGTTGTAAATCACATCACATGATGCTGCTCAGCCAATCAAATGTGTGTATTCTCATACACTTCCCGACTTGAGTGAGATTTACACACACAATACGTGAATCAGAGAAGTTATTTCACATGAAGAGAGAAGAGAAAAAGTGGTGAGTGAGACCAGAGAGACCAGAGTCTTTAACCAAGAATGGACATATATGTTAATTCTTCATGCGAACAGATTAAAACCAGTTTGTCTCATATATTCAGAGAATGTGACGATTATTAGAAGATGACAAGAATATAATATGGAGGCTTTTTTGGGTGACATCACTTCACCCTGAATGAACTGAATTTAAAGCTGCAGGACAATTCAGTTAAATAATATTTTCTAAAATGAAGTCCTTTATTTTAAGATAAACATATTTCAAAAGCTTTCTGTTATGTATTTCATTTTTTGAATCCAGTCCTAATAACATTTATTTATCATCAGAGTATGTATTATTTATAATTCATCCAGTTAAATTTGATATCTGACAATAAATATTGTTGAGGTGTTATTCAATTGAACTTTCTTTATTTGATTTGACAGTCAGCTGTTGACTACATACAGACGTTAATACAACTACTCGGCCCCTTTAATATATATGGGACTAAATCACAGAACAAGTTAGACATTACTGTGATGTTCTGGACTTTTAATGAGGAAATTCTCTCTAACTGGACCTCGTTGAACTTTAATTGAATACCGCTGCTTTTAGAACCCTGTGCTCGCTGTCTCATCTTTGACTGATGTTCAATTATAGGGTCTTTTTTAGAGAGAGAATATTAACTGTATGTATAAATAGAGAAGAAATGATTGTGATGAACAATAAGGGCCGTGTATCAGGATCAAATGACATAATTAGTCGTAATGTGTTCAACACAAGCAGGTATGTTGTGTGCCTTTTCTGTGTAGTTTCTCCTTCACACTAACAGTTACACACGGTAACGCAGTGTGTTCGGACTCTCTTCTTCTCAACGGTGGGTTTTAGTGTTAGCTTTGCTCAAATAAAAGACAGAAGCCTTTGTGTAGTAAAAGATTGAAGTGTTTTTTCTCTACTGTCCTGTAACCTTTACAATATAACTATTCATTTATGTTTATAGAACACAGAAAGAACGTAAAAAGAAGATGTGTATGTATCTTTTCAGGACCTTTGGTTCGCCCAGAGGCCGTCCTTGTTATTATAACAACAAAATTCAGATGGCAGGTACTGTATATGACTTTAAAATATTGCAAATTTGTGATTTTTTATTCATAATTATACCAATTTAATCTCAGATAACATAACCACCCTCCCTCGGCCCTGTTAATATTTTTCTTTTCCCTTTCTGACTACCTAAAAGCTTTGCAGAGGAATCAACACAGACAACATAAAAAACTATGGAGACAATATCCACACAGAGAGTGTGGCTCCCACTGTGCAAGCCCGGCCATATGTCTTACTTCTGATCCTGCTGCACATCTCTGGCCGTAGTGCTGATGTGTACTTTACATATCAAGGAATTGTTGTGACGCATCCCTGCGAGGCACAAAGTCACAAAGTGTTATTCATCTCATACTTTTATTATAAAATGTTTGAAAAGGCAGGGCTCACGGATCTATGATTATCTGAAAATGAAAAATGCGTTTGCAAACCTTTCCACCTAGCTGTGTACTGTTATTACTGCTATGTGCTGTGTGTCAAAGTAGTCCGCGAAAAAGAGATGGAATAAAGACTTTTTAAAATAAAACAGTGGAAACATAAAGATTGAAAAGCAAACCAAAGACCTAGCCATATTTTATTACAAACACTAGTTTTAAATATGCATAGCATGATGATATTCTATCTTTCAATCCTTTGTAGTCTGGAGTAAGGCCTAACAGATGTACAGTATAGGCATACACAGATGTATAGGTACCAGCCTATGGTATGCATCAGCATTTAGATATAGAGTAATTGCAGTCCAGAAATAACAAAGATATTTTTGAAGCAGTTTAGGAACAGTGATTTGTCCACAAGAGAGCATTGACAGGTATAATTGTACATAATGAAATTCCCACTAAATCGCTTGTTCACAATTCTTTCATAACCAAATTTAAAGGAATTTATCAGAAATATTTGTCTATGTTTTTAGGTTATGATAAAAAATGAATACGGGACAGTTATAGCTTCAGCTGAGAGACCCGGATAACAAGATTGTGTTGCATGGGTGAGAGCTGTTTAATGACTGCATACTGGGGCTGAATAGTCCTGATTTAGCACCTTATCATTTGTACTTGACTCACAGTGATGAGAAACACTTAACCATTAAGTGTTCTCTTCAGTGCCCTGCCTTTATTTTACTAAGCAAGAAAGTGCCTCTCAAACCACTGGAGATACATCACAAAGGATATGTGACATTGGGGTAACATTGTAACTATGACTCAGGCAAACGATTGTTTTCACTGATGATGAAACTGTACATACATTTCTTTATTCATTTATTTGTAAGTTAGACGATTACGAGATCAAAATCAAATCAAATGTGAAGCTACAGTCAGTAGACGCTTAGCTTAGCATTAAGACTGGAAACAAGGCTAGCGTGGCTCTGTCGAAAGGCAACAAAATCTGCCTACTTTTAAAAGTAACATGTTATATCTTTAGTGTTTGATTAAAGTAAAAGCGACACGTGGTGGTTTTATGGAACGTTACGTGCTAGAGACGATTTCTTGGCTGGGAGCAGTGACTTCCTAAAGTCCTTGCCGGTTGCCTGCAATATCGCAGTGATGTGGAAAAATGAAACAAACTGATCTAACGCGTCCATGAGTACGTTTTAGAGGTGCTGGTAGGTGGATTTCTAAGCCTTAGACAGAGGGAGGCTGGCTGTTTCCAGTCGTTATGCTAAGCTAAGCTAACAAGCTGCTGACATTAGCCTCATATTTAGGCCTACTGGATGGAACCAAAGCTTCGTAGTATCGATCTTCTCATCTAACTCTCAGCAAGAAAGCAAATAAGTGTATTTCTCAAAATGTCTATTGCTTCAACACATTGATCAATTATCAGAATAGTTAATTTTCTGTCAACTGAATCAACTTGTGGCCCTGACTGAAACTGAGAGCTTATTGTTTAATGATGTACTGTACCAGAGGGTTATGAATCACAAGTAGTGGGCCCTCTGCTTCTTCTTTGAAACCTTCCACCGGTTCGTCTTCTCGGAGCATATGGCACAATATACCTGGGTCATTTCATTCTGTGTCCTGGGCAGTGGCGGGCCGTGCATTTTATACCTGGGCCTTCAGTCTTGCAGCTGAAACACCACCTAATAACCTCATGATGGCGCCACAGCTACGGTTATTTGTTTCTAGGGGTGTAACAATAGACGTATTTGTATTAAAACCGTTTGGTACGAGGCTTACGAAAATAGAACAATACGTTTGAATAATACTAGTGCATTTGGAAAATGCAGAAGCTTAAATTGTGGGAAATATAATGGTTTCGGTGGACTGCGCTCACGTAGGAGACAACGGGCTTTGTGACCTCTCAACCCGGAACAAAAAAACCAAAACAAAAAGCAGCTGAGGCCCCGCACTTCTGGGAGGCTAGGCTAAACTAGCTTAACAAACAATAACTCTGCGCATGACGGTATACTTCGTCATTAGCGGACAATGCATATAGTCCAAATCGATATAATTAACACAATGACAACAACAAACTCACAAGAACGAGTCACATATATTCATATGACAACAGAGCATAACAAATCAATCCAGCAAACCTGCAGTGGAACACCTACACACTCAAGGGCCATTCAGATATTAGATGTAAAAAAACAAATGCAGTTGACTTACCAAATGCTGTTCACTTAAAGACAAACTCCATCCTCCTTTCTTTGTTGACAAAGAGTTTAATCCAACGGTTAAATCCCAACTCACAAATCCGTTCCTCCTCCTTCAGCCATTGAAAAAAAAATCTACACCAAGCAAATGCAAAAAATGTCATAATTTCTTCCATATCTTTCAATTTGAACTCTTACTACTCCGACTAAGCCTCTGATGGCTACTTTAAGTTTTGTTTCACAATAGTCACGTGCTCGCCCACTGACCAATCACAGCACACGCTGCAGCTCACTGAAGTGCTGCACCTGGAAACTGAGCTGCATGTTAATGCTGACGTAGTTGTAGGCCAGCTAGCAGGCTCTGACACGTCAAAGAATACGCCCAACATGTCAAACTAAAGATCTGATTGGTTGAAGAATATGACAATCAACAATATCGTCCCCATTCATTTAAACTGCAAAGGGATTCACTTGTGAGTCTGCAGGCCTGGGTCTCTGTTCTTACCTAGAGACACAGAGGTGAGATCTGATTGGATAAAAGCACTACTTAAAACAAGCTGCACTGGAAGCAGAGCAACTGAGGAAGACAGTAGCTGTGCAATGAGAAAATAAGATGGGAAAAATATTTTGATAAATTATAATACATGTAGTGTATTTAAGAAAAATGACGAAATTATAAAACAGCTATAACTTTGTGATTCTGTTTAGGCCAGCAGAGAAGACCTTGCAGGCCCTGACGGCCCACCACTGGTCCTGGGTAATACTTTTCAAAAGAAACTGAAACTGATCTCATCCCTGCCTCCCAACGTTTCTCATCTGTATTAAACCCTTCTTAGTGACTGACTGGTTGTGTAGTGTCTGTTTAAAAGAAGGATTAAGAGCTTTTGTATGATGCTTTTCAAGAATGAGCTGGAAGAACAAATGCTCCACCGGAGGTAATTCCATTGTATTGATCATTTCCACAAAATGGGAAAGACACTGACGGGCAGTGTGAAACAACAGAGTAAATCTCCAGCAGTCAAGTAACAGTGAAGGCTCCTTAACAGCGAGGGCAAGTGAGGAATTATATCATTTTTATCTTTGTAATTACTCATTTATTTCCAAGAAACTACTTCGATGCCTGCCTGCCTTCAGTAAGGATCAGTGAGCACTTTCCCTCATCTACAAGATCTGAAGCACCCACAAGTAAAATGTCATATAAATGTATAATGACGGCTGTCTAAATGTTCTAAGGTCATGATTATCTGTTTGTGAAATGTCAATGAAGCCTGTTGTGAGTGCGCCACGGAGCCTCTGTGCAGAGAGCGCATTACCTCGGCTCCAGGCCACCTGAGCTAAAATGGTAAATCACAAAACAGAATATAAACTTGTGTATTCACTCCTTCATATATTATTCACCAGGAAAACCATCGACTCCGTCAACATGTCTTCACCCAGGATATTTCAATCTCGCTCATCCTCTGCTCTATTTCAGATCAGCGTGATTGTGTCGAAGCTGAGTGCTTTTTCTCTCTGACCCTGCTTGTGTTTCATAGCAATAGATGTGCACAGAGTTGGCTCTATTTGGTCAGTTAACGATTGGCAAAAACCACACCAGATGCTGTGACGAGGCCACGCAACCACAAGTCTGTCGGGTCAACTGTCTTTTAGCAGCCGTACGGAGAGTCCCTAAGGTTTGGAAAAGCAGACAACAAGTAGCACAACTTTACAGTGTTGGTTCATTTCTGTGCAGTTGTGGTGAAGAATATTAATTTTGTATCCACATGGTCAGCTGGTTAATACAGTTGACTGCCTCTTACATCTTGTTAACATCTCACTGGCACACTAATGAATGTAAATAGGGCAAGCAGTGGTCACATGTTAGCATTACCACCAGCTACTTTTTGCTGCTGGCCAGTTAGCTATAAGGAAAGATTATTAAGTTACAACTCAGTATTACTCCAGAAAAGAACTGGACTAAAGACGGGACGGTGTCAACTCAAGGTGGAGACAAGTCCAACTCTTCAGACTGAACTTCAAAGCTATAGGGTCGGTAATCTTGAGAAACCAGAAAGAGTACGCTAGAATTTAAAAATAATCCCAGTGATCCAACCCCTTTTCCAATGAAAGCGAGAGTGCATACATATGTAAAGAGAATTTCAACAAATATCACAAACCATGTTTCTAGAATTCCTAACCCACACTAGTGTTCAGTTGTACGTATTGAATGTGCGTAGTTATTTACCTTTATGTCTGCTGCTCCTGTGGAGAGGGACTCTCTGCTCTGGGCTCTCTGGCAGCAGACTGTGAAACCAGCGGCGGTGCAAGTGTTGCACCCCCAGGCTTTGGGAAGCGGGCCAGTGCCGCCCCGCCTTGGCTCCCCCTCCGGATGCGGGCTGAACTGCGGCGGCCCATCTCGTACGCGCCCTCACGCCCAGGCCCGCCCAGGCCCTGAGGACGGTGGGGGGTGCGGCGAGGGCCAGCAGTGGCGGCAGGCCGGCGAGGTTGGGCTGGGCCACCCTGACACTGGAGCGCTGCAGGAGCAGAATGCTGCCCGCCATCAGATAGGCGATGCCCAGGCAGAGCAGCAGCATCTGAGCGCGCTTCAAGAGGCAGTGCAGCCTGTAGTGAGGCGCCGTCATGTTTAACCGTCTCTCTGTCCTCAGTGGAAGGCCATGTCAGGGACTAGGGAGAAGATGGGTAACCGACTTACGACTTCATGATGGCGGAAAGACCTGCAGCATCTGGTGATGTGGAAGGCATTGGCCCTTCATCGTCCAATAGCAGCAGTGGAACAATGGATGTGTCACAACAGAGAGGGGCTTAAAATCCAAGGCTTGGGGCAGAGACTCCAGGATGATCCCTGGGGAAAAGCTGAGGCACAAAAACAGAAAACAAATCTGGATTTAAAGCAAGAGTTTTTCTCTGAGCACAATAAGGGAAGTATATGCCTGGGGGATTCGATGCACAGCTCATGTTGACATATTGGCTTGTGTTTCTGTCTTGCAGCCTCTTGCAACACATCCCTTAGTGTCTGCTGCTGCGTTGGTCCCTCTCTGCCATTTGTTTCTCATTCAAAACCCTACTTCAACTTGTGTTCTGCAATTCTATTTAATTGTATTTGAAAGGGGGGCAAATGACACCAACCTTTACTAAAATGGCTTTGGATTTCATTCAATTTCAGATCAATTTGCACATGCCAGTATTTCAGTTATTACAGTCAGATGACATCATGTGATAATAACAAATAACAACCTGCCTTATGAAATGAGGATTATTATAGCAGTATGCAGACAATCTGTGGAGAGATTAATAAGTGATGAGTAAAAAAAAAGGAAACAGGCAAGGATGAGATGTTGAAGATTTCTGAATAATTGGGATGTAAAACATCCCCTGATACACTGACAGAAGAGGAGCAGTGAAGTGGTTTTGTTTTTCTGTCATGATGGCCTCTCTTGTGAGCTGATTTTTACTTCCAGCCTGTAGAGGTGCCCACGGTACATTAGCTATGTCTGCACACCCCTTCAATAGACGCCGACCATATCCATTCACGCATCGGTGGCTCATCACACACCTTCGTACCCTTGGGCTCTACTTTTTGTGTCAGGTCTCTCGTGCCCCCCCACACACACAGACACAAAAAGTAGGGGTGCGGTAGTGCTCCAGAGGATTGAAGCAACAGTTTGCACGATGAGTCTCGGATCAAATCCGAGTACCCAAGTTGTGTTCAACTCCCAATTTCTGTTTTCCCGCAAATACAAATGACCGTGAACATAATCAACACTCCCAGTCGAGGGACGAATAGGGGTGTTGAAAGCTGAATCAATAAACAGCGGGAGTAAACACGCATCACCCAAGCAATTTAAGAATCCGAGGTCTTCCATCTTAACCCCCCCCTTCAGTGTGCCTCCAACATTTACAGTACAGAGGCTGTGTGAACGTGCGGCTTACCTTCAGATGCTCGGCATCCTTGTTGCGCGATTACTTATCAGTTTACGGCCGTTATGATGTCTGTATTTCCCCCATTGCTGTCCGGCGAAGGTCCCCTCAGCTCTCCAGCATTTCCCAGAGCTGGTGTTATATAATCTCTCTCTCTCTGTGTCAGACAGTGCTGCCTGCTCTCCGTCACTCTGAAAGGCTGGCAAGGCGATATAAAGCAAGTATGTGTTGGTGAGAGAGAGACAGAGAGACAGAGAGAGAGAGAGAGAGAGAGAGAGAGAGAGAGAGAGAGAGAGAGAGA